TATATTGAGATAATTCAGTAGAAAGACTGAGATAATTCAGTAGTAAGGAAGTGCATCCAGGAAGGGGGGAGTGGATCCAGATATATACTTGAGGGATAATGCAAGAGCCATTTGCTTTGAGGCTGTGGTGCAACCCCCCTGATGGACTTGCCAGATTGGTCCTGGAGAAACCTATCAGTCTCCGTGAAGGGTGAGGTGTACCAACGGAACTGGGGGGGAGGAGCGGGCACGGAGTTTAGAGAGATACATAAGCCTTCAAAGACAGAGACAGGTTTTTGAGACTGAGAACCCGAAGTTTTCTGCATGCTGGTCTGTGAGAAGTCAGACCTACCAGGGTCCCTGTCAGAAGGCTGGATAGAGCATATAGGTAAGACAGACATGTGTATAGGTCTTAAGATCCTTTTCTCTGGAATGCTTTGTTTGTATGGCTAAACAAACAATACTTTTGTTTTGAGAAGTCTGATTTGGGTCATGATAATCTGTTGGTCACAGGCTCCCACAGGGAAGAACCATAGATACCAAACCTAGCCAGACCTGAAGGGTAAGCACTGTTGATCCACAGGGTAGTGGGACCTGTATGAGTACAGAACTGAATTACATGTTTACAGCACACAGCTTTCTGTGCAATTTTGAATTATTATCCATTCTCAAAAAGTGATTATTAGAGAAAAATCTGTTGGATAAAGTAGACTTTGTGGTCCTAAATCAAAAATACAAAAATATATTTTTAAATTGTTCAGTGTTTAGTGATAACTGAATCTTACTTTGGTAGACATGATTATATAAACTACATTAATGTATTTATGCAATGTACCATAAAGTCATTGATACTTAGATTAATTTAATTTTAGACAGAACTTAAATTATATAAAATATTATGAACAAGATCTTTCATTTGAAGTTGGTTCATTTACTGTAAATTGAAATGGCTTAGTTGTTTTCCCCCTTTTAATCTATTAAGCTAGGCGGCCACCTGCTAATAATTAAGATAAATCCGTGTGTTCAAATTTTAATATTCAACTCCAGATTTCTAAAATAGGACAATTAATGCAATGTATTAGGGCAGGGGTTCTCAAACTGGGGGTCGGGACCCCTGAGCGGGTCGCAAGGTTATTACATGGGGGGTCGCGAGCTGTCAACCTCCACCCAAACCCCGCTTTGCCTCCAGCATTTATAATGGTGTTAAATATATAAAAAAGTGTTTTTAATTTATAAGGGGGGGAGGTCGCACTCAGAGGCTTACTATGTGAAAGGGGTCACGAGTATAACAGTTTGAGAACCACTGATTAGGGGAAGACTTAGTATGGGAGTACAGTCATCCACAGGTCTAAGACACAACCATTTTTATTAGGGCTGTCGATTAATCACAGTTAACTCACGCGATTAACTAAAAAAAATTAATCATGATTAAAAACATTAATTGCAATTAATCACAGTTTTAATTGCACTGTTAAACAATAGAATACCAACTGAAGTTTAGTAAATATTTTTGGATGTTTTACTACATTTTCATTTATATTTATGTAAATTACAACACAACACAAAGTGTACAGTGCACACTTTATATTACTTTTGATTACAAATATTTCCACTGTAAAAGTGACAAAAGAAATAGTATTTTTCAATTCACTTCATACAAGTACTGCAGAGCAATCTCTTTATCGTGAAAGTGCAAGTTACAAATGTAGATTTTTTTTTTTTGGTACATAACTGCACCCAATAACAAAAAAATGTAAAACTTTAGTGCCTACAAGTCCACGCAGTCCTACTTCTTGTTCAGCCTATTGCTAAGAGAAACAAGTCTGTTTACATTTACGGGAGACAATGCTGCTCACGTCTTAATTACAACGTCACCTAAAAATGAGAAAAGGCATTCACATGGCACTTCTGTAGCCAGCATTGCAAGATATGCTAAACATTCACGTGCCTCTTCATGCTTGGACCACCATTCCAGAGGACATGCTTCCACGCTGATGATGCTTGTTTTAAAAAATGTGTTAATTTATGACTGAACTCCTTGGGGGAGAATTGTATGTCTCCTACTCCATGGTTTTACCCACATTCTGCCATATATTTTGTGTTATGATAGTCTAGGATGACAACCCAGCATATGTTGTTTGACTTAAGAACACTTTCACTGCACATTTGACAAAACACAAAGAAGGTTCAAATATCAGATTTCTAAAGATAGCTACAGCACTCAACCCAAGATTTAAGAATCTGAAGTGCCTTCCAAAATCTGAGAGGGATGAGGTGTAGAGCATACTTTCCGAAGTCTTAAAGAGCAACACTCTGATGCAGAAACTACAGAACCCAAACCATCAAAAAAGAAAAGCAACCTTTTGTTGGTGGCATCTGACTCAGATGATGAAAATGAACATGCATTGGTCCGCACTGCTTTGGATCATTATCGAGCAGAATCCGGCATCAGCATAGATGAATGTCCTCTGGAATGGTGGTTGAAGCATGAAGGGACATAAGAATCTTTAGCACATCTGGCACATAAATATCTTGCAATGCCAGCTACAACAATGCCATGCAAACGCCTGTTCTCACTTTCAGGTGACATTGTAAGTAAGAAGAGGGCAGCATTATCTCCTGCAAATGTAAAAATCTCGTTTGTCTGAGCAATTGGCTGAAGAAGAAGTAGGACTGAGTGGACTTGTAGGCTCTAAAGTTTTACATTATTTTATTTTTGAATGCAGGTTTTGTTTGTACAGAATTTTAAATTTGTAAGTTCAAATTTCATGGTAAACAGATTGCACTACAGTATTTGTATTAGGTGAATTGAAAAATACTATTTCTTTTTGTTTTTTACAGTGCAAATATTTGTAATCAAAAATAAATATAAAGTGAGCACTGTACACTTTGTATTTTGTGTTGTAATTCAAATCAATATATTTGAAAATGTAGAAAACATCAAAAAATATTTAAATAAATAGTATTCTATTATTGTTTAAACAGTGCGATTAATCGCGATAAATTTTTTTAATCGCTTGACAGCCCTAATTTATATAAAACTTGTCAGCCTCAGTCCCTAGTGGCCATGAATCCTATGACTGTGATGAAGTTTAAAAGTTTTAGTTTTAGAATGCTTTTCTGAAAAGGTAATGAGTTGACAAATGTAGCCCTACTATATCCTGCAGGACTGCTATATAATGTGTGCTACAGGTAAAGAGCAACATGAAACAAAGGCACAATGCATGAAGAAATGTATAATAAATGAATAAACATCAGCTTCTAAACTGATAAATATGAATGCCTTACTGCACTAAAAATAACTCGAACTAAAATGTTTCTTGCACTATTCCAGAGGCCAAATTAAACATCTTTTCACAGATGTTTGATGCACATACACCTGCCCAGTGTCTAGTCACTACCACTGGGATCGCATCCAGTATATCCAAGGATGGAGAGTGAGAAACTTAAATTGAATTCTTCACAGCGAAATGACTAGCTCAGGGATGTAAGGCGGAAGATCATTAGGCCTACGCATTAAAAGGCACAACAGGTATACGCACAAGGAAAGTCATTTGTAAAGTACTGCAAGTGCTGTCACCTCTTTCTCTGTAGAGAGTTTTAAAAAGTGATTTGGATTGCAAAGTTGGATTAGGTAGCTCAATAATCAAAAAGGTGCTCAAGTGTACTCATATAGGTTTGCAGCAAGTTGAATCTGAACACCAACCCTTCCTCCACCTCCAAGCTTAGGTCAATTTACCATGGTGTCAACAGGAGATGCTCTCCTGCCAACTTACCTTACTCTTCTCAGGGAGCTGGAGTACCAGAGTCAACGGGAGATCCTCTGCCATTGACTTAGCAAGTCTTCACCAGACCCACTAAATCAACACTGCTGCATCGATCGCAGCAGTGCCGATCTACTGGTTAGTGTAGACTGGCCTTAGAAAATACGTCAAAATTACTTCTGATGAGCACATGAGGTATATGCTCATCTGGGACCTGATCCACTGCCTTCAGTGAACTTTGAATCAGACCCATAATCAGAATTTCAGCCATGTGAAAAAACCCAACCCAGTTTAAAAATCAAAACCTCATCACAAGAAAGCTCTTGTTGACATCCAAACGGCATGGGGGAGCGGAAGGAATTCAACCTCAGCACAATTTTCACGGACACAAAAATGTTGCAAAACATATTTCATTGTTGCAGGACCTTCAAGAACTTGAAAAATAGTAAATTTAGAGTATTTTCAATTGTGTTTCAATTTTCATTGCTCTTGTATTAAGCACTTCAATAGTAGGAAAGTTTACTTAAGGTAAATGAACAGTATTTGTCCTCAGAAGGCACTACCCAGGATTCCCTTGTGTTCCTTACAGAATCATAAAAAATGGGAGATGATAAAGACCTCTATCATCACCTGTTCCATCACCAGGACTCCATATTATATTTTTTAGCTGATCCTCATTTCAAATCCCAACAGATTATTGTCCTTTATAGATTAATGCAACTAAAAAGAAATTAAACATTTTATTTTGCTTGTCCTCTGAAGTCCTTAAATAAGGGTTTCAGCACCTTCAGGTTTCCTATTTCCATTATTCCTGGGAAAGTAAAGCATGTGTATTATATTACAAACTGGATTTTATTACAAAAGACAAAAATCACCGACTAATATAGATATTTTAATATGAAAGCACAATGGTTAACAGGTTGATAAATCAAAGCTGCAAAACTAAGCTCAATATAATAAGTTTATCCTCCTACTACTATTATAATATTTTATAGTGGAAATACCAAAGTAATCAAAATGAAAAAGTGTAGGCAGCTTCTACACATGAGATAAATAAATGTACCTAACAGTAGCTAATTGGATCTTTGAGCTGTAATGACCCCCTCCCCCAAACTATTATTTTGCATAAAGTGTGCATGACAATGGGGAGGGGAGGCATCAGTGGAAGTGCTGTCTCTATAAATATATAAACTATTCCTAATAAATTCAGGACAATTTATATAATTACATTCTTATTCTGCTTTGTACAATACTCACAGAAAGACTGTAAGAAGGCTCCATTATCACTGGTACTGACATCTTCCCTTGAAGATTCAATTTGGTTAAGTAAAAAATCTTTTCCCCCACAATCCTCTCTTTTTTCATGCGACGTACACCATACAGTCTAAAGCGAACTGCATAATTCCCAATCATCTCAGATTCAACATGATTAAATTTGAATGTCTCTGCGAAGACAGGGCATGGTCCCCGCTGGATGCTCGTTTTTGCTCTCTGTTTCTTTATAGGTAGGAGAACTAGACGTACTTGCCATGAGTTTCCGCCTGTCCTGTTATATGCTGGGATGTCTGTGACAGCTGTCACTGTTACTAGAAGCTTCTGTTCTTGTGAGTCATAGTCAAAAGTCACATCTAGCGTGCCATATTTAGCTACTGGCTCAGGATCAAAAGGTTTAGGAAGCTGTGAAGATGATCCTCGAGCTGACATATCCTAAGGAAGGAAATATAAATACTTTTATTTAAATTTATTTATTTATTTTTGGTATTCTATTATTAAATCTAGCATGGAAATGCATGGTTTTCTCTAAGCAGCATGATGGGACTGTGATCTTTTTGTTCACTTCATAAACAAGGTAATTAAACACTGAAGAATGAAGAGGTGGCTGACTGGCAACCAAGGAAAATCAAAAGCTACTTCCAGCTGGTCAAAATAGACAAACCCAGGCACCAACTGGAAAAGAAAAAGCTAGAACTAATAAAGTGATATTAATGACTTAATTTTTTCAGTTCCACATAAGCTGAGATAAACTGTCATTCATTGTGAGGTGCAATCCAAATATCTGAGTCAAGTGAGGCGTTCTGCAGAATTAAAAAAAAAAAATCAATACTCAGGTTTAACATATTTAACACATTAATACCTGATTTGATGGTAACAGAATATTGTGAAATATATATGACTAGAGCAAGTAATGGGCCGAATGCTGCAGTTGGTTGCACACACAACTCCCACTGCAGTCAGTGAGAGTTGTGCACATGCAGCAGATGGCTAATAGAGCCTGGTATATGTAACTTCCTTAGAAGTATACAAGAAACATACCTATGTCAGAAATGTCTTCTGTACTTGCCATATACAGTATATCAGTTCTTAAATCAATTATTGCTAATGCTTAATTTCTAAAATCTTCAGTGTTCTCATTAGGTGTGCACTTATAAATTTAATAGCTAATAAAATGGTGAGGATATGCTGTTACTTTCTGTTTCAATTAAAATTGCTTTGTTTGCACAATGAATCCTTCTTTAATATGGGTTGATTTTTCTCCCTTACAATATAAGTAGTTTACTACGAATTTACTCCATTTACATGGTATTGGTAGTTTAGTGAAAGTTAACCTAGCTGTACCTACAAATATATTCTAATCATGGGGCATGATTAAGGCTGTATTTTTAAAGAAAATAAGTGCTATTTTGCGTGAAGCAATGTGTCAGATTTCATAGCACAACTTTAAATTTCATAAATACAGTGAGTGCTGAATATAGTGCTAGAAATGTTTCAGTATCTATCTATCTATCTATCTAAAGAAACAAATAATTTCTACTCACTATTTGACAAAATAATTTTATTTTTAAAAAGTCCTGTATAAAGAAATAATTTGTGTGCCTCCCATTCAAACATACAACAACATTTCAGTAAAACCAACAATCTGGAACTCCTACTATAGAAAGTGTTTTTTCAGTGGTATTCATTCAGACATAGCATGATGTATAGATGAAAATTCTCTGGCATTTACAATTCAGCAGAACATGAAAAGAATCTTTTAACACATGCACTGTGGGCTGACCCAAAAGATGACTGACTACTAGGGTGACCAGATGTCCCAATTTTATAGGGACAGTCCTGGGGCTTTTTCTTATATAGGCACCTATTACTCTCCACCCCAATACCGATTTTTCACATTTGCTTTCTAGTTCCCCTTCTGACTACAATATTTGTCAATCTGTACTTTTTTTTTTCCCATTTGGGAAAGCCAGGTTGCCCATCTATGCACCTATGTTTTCCTTTCCTGTGATTGTCCAGCGATCGCTGGTCTGTGTCAGCAGGCTCAACACAAGTAAGCCCAAAGAACAGGCCAGCTATTTCCAACAAAGCCCTCCCCAGCTACCTCCTGTATTCACAGCCCTTTGTCAGCAATATTGTTTGTTCAGTAACAATCCACATCTCTCAGGTTTTTCCTCTCTGCATTAGCACTATGTTTTTAAAAAGGGGGGCATAAAGTTTCCATGCATGTTTTACACAGCAAATTGCCAACTCCACATTTTCCATTAGATCTGTGATTACCATGAAAATAATACAGTCATAGTCAAGATCAATGACCTATTTCTAAGAAGACATCAGGAGTGAGCAACAGGTCCTCAAATCTCCTGGATATCATTAAAATTACATTCATCCCCATTTATTTATTAAGGAATGGGAAAATTCTAGATCACGGATGGAGCCATTTGACCAAAGGTTGGGCCTGAATCGAATTTATAATACAAAATAGTTTTGATCAAGATAAAGCAATGGTTCCATATGCTTGCATACTGTACCTCAATAACCTGAGTCCAAGGACTGATACAATTAGCAGCTAAAGAAATGCAATGGCTAGTGTGGCAAAAAGGTACTGTATGAATAAGAAATTTTTGAAGTATAATATAGATCATTGTATTATTCATATAAGATGTATTTATTCCAAACATGTAAAACCTCAGTATAAATCCTGAGGTCCTTTCATATGGCTAAAGATATTACTTGTTCATATCAATGATAATGTAGCTTTTTTTTTTAAATCTAAAAATTGTTTGCTTCTGGTTTAAGAATTGATACTATGGATTGTCTTTACACATTTTAGACATCTACATATTAAAAATATTAAAAATTCTGTTTAGGAAGAATAATCATTACAAATTACAAAGGGAAAAATGAGAAAGTAAGTGTATCATAAATCTATTACATTATCCATAATAAAAATATTTCTTTAATCTCAAAACAATAAGGATTTTTAATCAAGATTTTTCTTCAGTTCTCTAGGGAGTTTAATATGAAAGGCACTAAGAGAAATATAATTTTGATTGATTTATTACTAAATTATTAATTGAAAATTGTTGTGAGAAGCGAATTGTTAATATATAGTTCCCCATGATAATGTATATCATAGCTTTTACTGGTTTAAAAAATAAATCATTCCTGTTGGGGTGTTGTTTTAAAATGAAGTGTCATTGAGGTCATTATACAGAGCAAGTTAAAATCTTATTGCTATATTATTTGGCAATATACATTTTTCTTCTTTATAACAGACCGTTGAAGTTAACGTACACAGTCTCTGTAAGATGTAAATTAGAAACAAGATATTTATAAGATCTACAAGAGAAGTTAAAATACTATTGTGTTACATCTAAGATACCTACAAGTGTAGTGCTAGGCTGTATTTCATTTACCTCTGGGCTAAGGACAGCAGTACTATCACTGGGTACATCCTCTTCATATCCTTTGTTATGGAAGCTTTCTATTTCATGTCCAGTGCTTCCCTCACTTGGGCACTTGTATGAACATCTTGGACTGTTGCTACAGTGGGAAAATTCACATTTACTGTCATCAACTTCAGAGGGTGTACAAGAGAGGTGAGGAGAACCACTATCATCCTGATACGGCGGAGGCTGCAGTTCATCCAGCGGAGGTGTTCTTCTCATTCTTTGAATACAGTTTGCTGTGAATAAGTGATAGATCTTTACTTATACACTTTCTGAACTGAAAATATATGGAGCATTTGGTTATTAACTGCTCAAATATTTCTTTGGAAAGTGACTGAATTCAAACATCTGGACACAACATTTAACTACAATTATCTTCAATTTCTTGATGCTTCAAATTAAATAGGATACTCCTGAAGAAACACTATATTAATAAACAAATAACTCATCTATCTCTTTTCAATACAGTGTATAGGAGGGAAAAGCAAATTACTTGAATACATTAATTGTATGTGCATGACACTAATATTTGATACAAAATAAAAACTCTGGCCCTGATTGTGAGATGCGCTGGGCCCCTACAACTCTATTAGGTGCAATTCACGAAGTCAGAGTTTTGGGAGCGTGAAGCAGCTGGGCAAATGAAACCACTCCCAACCCACAGTGGAAGATTGCCGAGTAGCTCCTATGTGGCTGCTATTCCAACATGCTGAAATAGCGACTACAACTCCTCCATGTCAGTTGTGTGAAGTATCAGGGACAATGGATCCATGTAAATGAAGATCTGCAGCCCCTCTCCTTGCCTACTGGCAGTGTGGCTTAGTATACCATCTTATGTACGGTTGGCACAAAGGCCTTTTTTCCATGTCTTGTAGGGAGTGCATTGGCACCCCTGAGCAGGTGCTCAGTCAGTGGACTAACTGTTCAGCCTTTACATAGAGTTTAAGTAATGCAAAAGACTAGCAACATGCCCCTTCACATAGGTGAATTTCACCCACTGAATTTAACAAACTTAATGGTTTCTCGGGATCATATCCTCCATTAGTTATTAAAATCAAAGGGCTCAACATTTGGGTACCTTGAAGTTAGACACTGGTGCCTACTCACTGAAGCCATTGGAAACACTACTACTGACTTTAGTGAGCTTTAGATCAATCGCCAAAGAGACTTGATTTTCCAAGTGGCTGAACATCTTCAGCTTCCACTGACACCAGCTGGACAGATGGATCTGTGTCTACTCAGCACCATGGAGAATCAAGGTGCCTGAATAAAACTGTAGACGCCTGACTTAATGCACTCATTTCAAATTTTAGCTTACTGCTTTACTACTTGGCACTACAAAATTAACTGCAGATGGGAAAATAAAATATGGTCTGTGTTAGCAAAAGCAACAGAAATTCCAAAGACATAGGTAAAATATGTACCATAGAATCATAGAACTATAGGGTTAGAAGGGACCGCCAGGGTCATCTAGTCTAACCCCCTGCCAAGATGCAGGGCTTCCAGGCTTATTGATGGGTCTTGGTAAGGTTGTTGAAGAGCTGGCTGGTACATAACATCAGTTTTCATTCAGCTGATGGTAAGGGCAAAGTTATGAGCTGTTGCAGTTTGTAGGATCTTGTTTGACACAGCCAAAGCCACGGCAACACAAAAACTTCTGACAATGAAGATAGGCCATAATCATATTCTTACAAGAATTCGTCAAACCAAAAGATTAGTGAAAGTACAACTGTTAAACAGTATGAGATTTTATTTCAGCAGTGATTATCTGAGAGACTGTATCTCCACCCTGTGTAGGGTTGAAGTTGGCTTTAGCCCACGAAAGCTTATGCTCAAATAAATTGGTTAGTCTCTAAGGTGCCACAAGTACTCCTTTTCTTTTTGCGAATACAGACTAACACGGCTGTTACTCTGAAATAAATTGGTTAGTCTCTAAGGTGCCACAAGTACTCCTCATTCTTTCTGCTGATACACACTAACACGGCTACCACTCTGAAACCTGATATTATGTGAGTTTCCCAAGTTTACACCTTCTTATTTAACATGCAGATGCTGGAGGCTGGATGTTTTCAGTGAGAGATTCTCAAAGTGTGGAATACTCTTCCTGCCTTAGTTCACCAAAACCTGAATTTGCTGACCTCCAGGTCACACTGTAAAGCAATTTGCTCTACATTTCTACCTGTCTTTTGTTGTCAGGGGATTATTAATGGAGTACATGATGGGAAAGTTTTGATTGTGAAGGGACCATGCGGAACCTGGGAAGGCTCCATTTGTTGAACATTAGACAAATTTTTGTTGTTTCTATAGTAAGTACATGTACTTAGAGAACTGGATGGATACATTATTTAAAATCTAATACTTTTGCAGTATCACTCAACTATCTTTATTATGTAAGTAGGGCTTCCATTTTGCAAGCAATGACTGCACCACACCTAAAGTGGGGGGGATATTGTCCAATCTTGCTGGAGGAAGGCAGAAGTGCTTTATGGTGGGGGGGAACAAGGTCAAACTGCTGCAAAAAGGTGGGTGGTGGTCGGATTTGCAGCACTGACTCACCCCTGGGAATGTAAGGGTGAAAGGCTTTAAAGGTGCAAGCCCTGGTGTTGGAAACCTCTTTCTCCATGCAGCAGGCAAGGTAGCACCCACCCTCCCCACCCTTGAGGTGTGATTATCAGGTGGGGTTTGAACCTTCTGTGGGCATTGCACTAGTCGCTCCTTTTTAGGGGGGCTGGGAAGGAATTTTTCCCTCACCACCATATTGGCTTTGGTGGAGTGGGGTGTTTTTGGCTTCCCCACAGCGGGTGGCAGGGAAGACCTATTATGGTGGGCACAGAAGGTGGTAGGCTTTATGTCGCAATTTATTTTGTAAGTGTGGGGCGGACGTCTAGTGCAGGTACTCCATAGGTAAGGTATTCAGTGACCAGATAAATGGCCTGGTAAAGGATTTTAAAAGGAGGTGCTGGTTAAAGGAACAGAATGGTGTGGAGTTTGGGGCTCCTATGGCTGGAACAGCAGGGAGCCAACCCCCGCCCTTTTTCTGATAGCCCACCTTACCCCTCCTATGGGGGGAGGGGTGGATGGTAAGGTTCTGGCAATAGATTTGCTGGAGGGACCTGGATGGAAAAAGAGGGGTAGCTGGTGGAAGTCCCTTGGCTAATAATGGAATAAACATGGGGTTATGTGCATTGTACACTTTTATCTGCTGGGTAGTCCCAGACATCTAATAATAAAGTTGCGGCCTGATTAAATCCATATGAAGTATCTCCTTCTTTTGGTATAGCCGGATAATGTCACTAATGTTATTTCAAATCTAAAGCAATAGTTTCTGCTCAAAATGGCAAAATGCCCACAAACAACATTAACTGAGACAATTACTACCATACAGCTATGCCTCAGTTTTTTAAAAAGTTGCAATCTACAATGACAATTTTTTTCCAGTAATTTGTGCACAATTTAGAAAAACGAAAGTATGTCCGGATAGCTATTAGCGCCATTATTGTCTTACATGAGTAAATAAAATGACTATGTGATTCATTTTTTTTTTCACTTTGATGAACCCTCTCATATGTCCCTATGGGAAACCTGCATAAGGCTGTGTGACAGAAAAGGTGCTCTTAACGTAGGTGGAGTAAAAGTGAAGAGAAGAAAATTCCTTTTAAGCAGCTAGAGTGATCCATAAATGTCAGAAAAGCAGAAACATAAATGCAAGTTTTTAACTATTTATTTTTGAAAGCTTACTTAGCAAAGAGAACTACAATGTAAACTATTAAAAACAGGTTTTGAATGTCGATATTAAGGATCTAAATACACATTTGTATAATCAGTGTAAACAGGCACAAACCATTTCAGAATCAAAAAAGCCCTTAACTCAACATAAAGAGGTAACAAAGTTTTTAAAGGAATTAGACTGAAAATGGTTTTTGAGGTAAAGTATTATTCTTTTAAATAGTAACAGTGGACCTTTTTGTACTAAGAACCATCTAATATTAGATAGACCTTTCTTCGGGTTAACTTTTATTTCCCCTATTTGCACACACAGATGTAAATGATCAGTGCTGCAGAATACATATCCATACCTCTTGTCCAACTCTTAATCAGAGAGGGCAGAATTTTCTGAGATACTGAGCAACTGCTACTCCTCTGACTTGAGTTGGAACAGCAAGTAATCCAGCACTTCTGAAAATCAGGCCCATTATCTCACAGCTGCCTAAACTCTTTCTGAGCAATTGTGCCTGTTCTCAATTTGTTTAAACCCTTGCCCCAAAGTTCAAAGTCAAGCAAACAGAAGTATACATTAGTAACAGCCCAGCATTGTAGGTCTAATTCATTCTAGATGCAATTCCACTGAATTCAATGGAGTTACACCACAGATTAATTTGGTCCTGCATATTTCTACTGCAAGAAGCCCCTCCTTTACAAACCAATGGTATAGAAGCATTGCCAATATATGCCTTTCCAATCCTACATATGTTTGTATTCCAAATAACACTTCAGTAGTCACTGAAATGAAGTAATATGGGTACTTTCCTCAGACAATGCAGGTCACACAGAAGTAGGAATGTTAGAAGACCATTTCAGAGAAGGAATTCAAATATAGCAGAAGCCATTAAAAATTTACACTTGCCAACTGCTACCACACAGTTACCATGGATCTCCCCCACCCTAACTATAAGATACTGTGGTAGCACAGAAACCATTGTGTGTTAATTTGGCAAATGATGGTTTATAAATGGCTATCACTGTTTATGTATCACTGCATGCACTAAATGCACAGCAGGAACTCTGTGAAAAGACAATCTAATTGTTGATGGACATCAGAAATCAGTGAAATCACATAGAATCGTCGATCAAAGCTCAAAATAAGAAGTTGGGCATTTTCCATAAGAATTTAACTAGTAAGAAGCAAAATTATATAACCAAAAAAAATTTGTATTTGATCAACTTGTGTATAGATCGAAAAGTTCTATAAAAATTAAAAAACAACGTTTGTACATGTCAGCCCTTTCTGAGAGATTCTATTGATTAAGCATGATAAGAACTATGGATAAGAATCTATGAACACAAGCAGATGATGGACTGCTGGTACAATCAGCAGTCACACTGAGTAAATGGCCATTAGTGGACTGAAATCAGAAGTAAAGATTTTCTTTAAACTCTGTCCGTCAAAAGAAGGATGTTAGTCTATTTTCAAGAGTCCCTCTCTCTGGGCTTGATTCAAAGCCCACTGAAGTCAACA